ATTCTGATAAGAAGACATCTTATTCCTGCAAGATTTTACTTGAAAACAACATCGATAATATAAAATCCGAAGATATGTCAGTGCTGGTGGAGGGATGCAAGCTTGCTAAACAATTGCAATCGCTTCAATTTGAGGATGGTTGGAATGAGGAAAAAAAAAAAGGAAAATGATAACAGAAGTGTCGGTGGAAATGTTGACGTATGCTGCAAACACGTGTGATTGGAAAAATCATGGTTACCAACTTAGGAAAGGTGGAGAGCTGCTCACTCATGATCGTCTTCGAATCACACATCTTGGTTTAAGTGTACAATACAGCAAAAAAGGGAGGAAAATTGGTTAATCACTTCATACCTGAATGCAGAAATAAGTGCATGCTTCATTGCACTTTTACGAAAGCTTGTTGCGTTTGATTGTTGAAATTTGTTGGATTTGATGATTGAAATATTTTGTTCAGCTGTGGTCTTACTTTATCTTGTCTCTGTTTAATTTATCATATAATATTTTTATTTTCTTTAATGCAGCAATACATGTCAATTAAAAGGTCACACACGTAAAACTCTTTATCATATGCTTCCCTTTAATATTTTTTGTAGAGAAAATAGTGAGTATATTTTACTATAATCAACTTAAAAATGTTATGGAAAATTATTCCAGACACATTGAAATACTATAATGACAACAAGCCCAATACTGCATCGGAATGACAACTTAACATCAATGATGGGAATGGCGGTGGTGACAGTAACATAACAATAAGAATGAAATTACACGTACAAAATGTTTATACAAATATGTTCATTCAAGATGTCGTAGCTGAGATCATGAAGTAATAGAGAATTGTCTTCACTTGTGCTCATTTAGAACTTTTGTCGAATACTTTGTGGACAGACCTAAAGAATACCCTCAAAACCTTTTTTAGAATGAACTTAATAAACCAAAGTGATACAGATGACAATAAAAAATATTATCCAAGAAGGAAACAACAACCACAGTATAATACATAGACAATTTTATGTGATTCATCGAAAATGGCTATGACTACATAAGCCAGTATTTGATTTCACTAAATTAAAGAGATCAACAAAAGAAAATAATCTTAGATTCTCACCTTTTAGATCTTCATCATTCCATCTCACAATCTCTCTTGAGTTTCAAGTTTTGTTCACACCAAGTTGAAGCTTTGTTCAACTCAGTATTTTTCAATCTCGTACTGCACAAACTCTCAAATAAAACATATATATTATTACAAGATTACAATAATACCCCTATACTAAAAACACAAATTATAAAATTGCCCCCATAAAAACATATATATTATTATAAGCCATACATCAATACGATCCACATTTATACTATTTATACTAATTAAACCCTCACTTATGTTATTGAATGGCCTAGAAATTAGACATTTTCCTATATTAGCAACTTGATATATTATGAAATAACCTTTAAAAAAAAATATTGTGTTGGACAATTTGAAAACTACCTTAGGCATTTTAATGATTTTTAAATGATTCATAAAAAATAATGATTATTTGAAAACTAGCTTAGGCATTTAAAAAAATATTGTGTTGGATACTTTCACATCTCTTAGGGGGGAGAAATGAAATTAAACGTTCTACTTTTTCAAAAAATTTGCTCCGTTCTTCTCGTGGTTTCAACCAACGTGAGGTTTTGCCACGTATATTTTGATACCTAGATTCATAGAAGACGTATTAATGGGAAAAAAAAAAAAAAAAGCATATTAACATAACTAACAATGGTTATTCGGTGGTAGTACACGTCCAATCGACTATTGTTCAAGGTGTCTCCAAACAAGCTTTTGTTTGCTTAAATAAAAAATATGCTAAGGAAATTTCCGAGTTCAATAACGAACTCATTAATTTCAGATACATACTTCTTCCATAGATCCTGGAACTAATCAACGGTAAATTAATCGAGTGTAGTCACAACAAGCTATTTTGTGAGACCTAATAGAAAGAACTGAGGAGAAAGTCAAAATATACTCATGGGTATAATTTTTCCATCATAATCAGGATTAATGTCTGATAATCCATTAATTCGAATAAATTTAATATGTCAAATATTACTTTAAATATATTAAATTTGATATTATTAAATATAAAATAATTTTACAGAAATTTTTAATATATTAAATAAATTATCTTTTTCATATTTTATTTCTGTTACATTAAATAATGTTAGGTTGTTATATAGTTACATGATTATTTTTAGCTGAGTGGTTAATCGCTTTATTTATTTAATTATTTATTTATTTTTTTAAAATAAAAAGAGATAGAAAAACTGAAGCAGGGGGATACTATAATTACCCATTAAAATAAATAAAAGTATTTTTAGGAATACTTTCAAGGGGTCTATTGTTAATTAATTGTCCCTAAAAAGAAATAGATGTGTCTACATTCTAGTGGTATAATGTGAATTACCCATAATCATAGAGTTTATCGCTGGAAAGAGATGCTAGATTAGATAAAATCATGGAGTTTCTCGCAGGCAGCCAAAAAAACTTTAGAAAAAATCTGCAATGCCAAGCTTGGTCAATCGAGGAATATTCTCTGCGCAATACTATAGGAAAAAGTGCCTGAAGACTTCATTAATCTATGTTTTAATTTGTCCTTCTGATATGTAAAGAAAAGACGATTAAATTTTGTCGCCTATTTCTTGTCGTTTCCTCTTTACCAAAAAGTGGGTTGATGAATTTGGTTAGCTCAAATTTCGACCTTCTCTTAGAATCGCTCCACGTATTTTCTTCAGTACTTTCATGGAAGGCGCATTTTCATTTGTCTCTCCCTTAATGATGTTTCTTGTCTGAATAGAGACCAATGGTGAGTGCTACTTGTCTTTTGGAGAATGGAAAATCATCGATCTCCACAATCATTATTGCCTAGCTACCCGTTAAAATAAATTTTCACAATTCTTCGTTTTTTATTTCTTGCTTAAACTTAATCTAAAATTCCAAAGCCATGGACATTATACTGAGATCACCACAAAATAGTTTCTAAAGGTAAAGGTACTGTTAAACATATAGATTTTTGTTTATTGTAATGAGCTTATAGATTTTTGTTTATTGGTTTGGAATTAATCCTCTGTTATTGGATAATTGTTGGAGTTGTCGACCACTTCAGCATTAATGGGTAATAGAGACGCACTCGGGGGTCCTGTTGTCCATTGACCGGACAGGTGCCTCGCTCCCCGGTGAGCAGGTGAGAGTCGCGGGGGTAGTAACCTCGAGCCCCGTAGGCGGTTTTGGGCTTTTCCATGTATAACCGCGGTAGGATTTTTTTTAAGTTACTAATTCTTTATTGGATTGGGTTTAAGAATATGATTCCTTATAAAACTGGGTTTAGTCTCTTAAACCTAGTATATAATCATATTTTTCTCTTGTTATGAAGGAGAGAGCAATTCATTCATTGTAAACGAATGAGGTGAGGCATATTGCAATAATATTGACTCAGTTTGACGTAGCCCACATTGGGTGAACCAGGGTAAATCGTACGTATTATTTTCTTTGTTCACTGTTTGATTTGTTTTACTATTATATTTTGTTCCTGTTGTTGTCTCTATTTCGTTCAATAATATCATCTTATATTATTTTATTATCACGTTGGATACTTATATTATCAAGTAATGTAAACACGTTGGATTATCAAGTAATATAAACTTAACACTAATTATGAACTTAATAGCATCGATCATCAATTTTAACTTGTAATTAATTATTTGAAAAGTCATCAGTTTTTATTAACTTCTTGAGTATTTTCTATTGATCCAAACAAAACCAAATGTTTCATTTACTTTCAAGTTTGATGTTTTATCTGTTTGTAACGCTGTTGTATTCTCATTTTGGGCTTCGGAACCATATATAAATAAAAATGATATAGGTAAAGGAGACTTAGCGGTGAAGATGGAGTAGCAGTAATAATATCAATATACAGACAAACACAAATATATAAATAAATTATTTGATATCCAGTGTTACCCTAAGACCAAATGTGATAGCCTGCCGAGACGATTATGAACATGACGAAGTTATAAAGAAGCAGAGGAAACAATTAGAAATACAGAAGCTACTTCAAAATTTCTTGGGTTTAGTAAAGATGCAAAATTGCAGTCTGCACCTCACTTAGGCTTTGCACAAGTGGGAATGGTTGATGAATGGATAAGGAAAAGCAGGTCCAGCTTTTGTAAAAGGTAGAAAATAACAAAATACCATAGCTGTTAAAGCACTAACTGACATCTTGACCCCATTAAACTTTTAATAATTGTATAAAAATAGTGACTTTGAGCTAAACCAGAGAAAAAAAGAGAAGTCCAGAGCTGGAGTTTTCTGGAAAATATCGGTTCAGTTTATCAAGTGAGAGAGATGAGTGTACAGTGTTTTATACAGAAGACTAACGGAAGATTAACAGTAACTGTAACTAATATACAGTTACTTAACGGCTTGACTAACAGACTTAGCTTATAACTCTAACATCCCCCTTTAAGCTAAACGGTGACATATCTCTCAACATATATAATAAAGTTGCAATTCACAATTCCTCTCTCAAATAACAAAAGCATCAGTCATCAATTTTTAAACTCTTCAGTAAATATAGTTAATGCGTAAATTAATTTTAATCTTCTCTAATTATCCACGTGGAGATTAATTTTTTTGCTGCTGATTTTGAAACAAACAATCATTGAAAAAAACATAGAAAAATCTTAAATAACTGAATCAGTCCACTTATCATATATATATAAGAATTTTTAAAAATTAATTTTAATCTTCTCTAATTATCCACGTGCAATTCACACCAGATAAAATAGCAATTCACACTTCCTCTCTCAAAAAGCAAAAGCATCAGTCATTAATTTTTTTTTTTCAGAATTTTTAAAAATCTATAAAAAGGGAATGTGAATGTAATATTTTTTTTTATAATCAATTTTTCGTATTAAAAAGAAGACATTTCTTTTTTACTTTCTCTTTCCTTTTTTCTGACACTGTCTCGTCTCCTGTGAAAACCTTTTCTCTCTAACATTCTATCTCCTCTCTTACAAAAACATCTCTCCTTTCGTCTGAAAACAAGTTTGATCTATTCTCTCTCTTCCTCTCATATTTCAAACTTTCAACTCTAGCCACCGCCGGTCCACCAACACCAATACCATCCCCTTCCGACTTACCTTCTACCACCGTCGAAATTGCCGTATTCTGACAAGAAGACATCTTATTCCTGTAAGGTTATTCTTTTTATTCTTTTATTTTTATTCAAGTAACAACTCAAGCAAACAAATCTCAAAACCATGTATCAAAAAACTAATCCACCAGTACAACAATATGTAGAAAAAAAAAAAACAAAAAAAAAAGGGCGGCTTGTGGATTAGAATAAGATAAACCTTAGGGGTGGTGAGAGATAATAATCTTTTTTTTTTTTTGGTGTCTGAATCCTTAAACGAAGGTTTAGGGTGTGTTCTTTTATGCTCATGACAAAAGTTTAGGGTGTGTTTTTTATGAATCCGTTTTATGTTTTGTGAAAAAATTGAAAATGACGATATGCCGAAAATAAAAATGCATTTGATATATTTGTCTGAAAACAATATCTTAAAACTGAGAAAATAAAAACGTGTTTGACATTTTGTTTCTACAACAATATTTTGAAAATAAGAAAATGAAAATGTAGTCTGTCGTGAAACAACGATTTAAATTCAGAACTTTAAATAAATTTTTAATTACGTTTTGCATTAATTTTAATATTCATTAAATATAATAACTAAAAGATAATCAATAATAAATAATTATTTAAAATTAGTTATTTAAATTTATATTAATTCTTTTATTAATACTTATTCTAAAATAGTAGGATTGACTATTGCTTTTGAAAATTATTGAATAATCTTTTTTATCTTAATCCTTTTTTTTTTTTTTTTAAATTTTTAAAACTTAGATACATAACATAAATTAATAATTATTAAAATATATTTATAAACAAAATTAATTTCAATAGAGTTAAAATACATTTATTATTTTTTTATTTTCTTCATCTTCTTTCTCAATTCCAATTCTCTACCACTTCATCTTTTTACTTTAAAAAAAATACCCTAGATGTAATATTAATTGGCGGCACACACAATCTCTAGACCTAGGAAAGAAAGTGTCTGCAAACAAGATGGTGGTGCCACCGCAGTTGCCTTGTTTAACATGGCCAGAAGCGGCCTTTTTGGCCACCAGTAAGATGAAAGGTGATGGTTCACAGGTTCAGATCTTGTACCATCATGAAAAGTCCAATTCTTTTCTTCTCTACATTAGGAAGTCCGTAAATTTAATTCATGAGTAGAGTGTTATAAACAGTTAATTTCATTTTCTCCTATACAAACTAACGTGGTATATATATATATATATATTTTTTTTTTTTTTATGATGAGATTTTAGAATTATCGGTCGGGTCTCATAGCTACCCTTATTAGCATCTGAAGAGTGACTCAAACTTAGGATCTATTGAGTAATACATGTAAGACTCTTTATCGAATAATTCATTTAATTTATTTATTAAGTTGTCATTCTTAAATTATTGTATTAAGTTTTATATTGTATCAAATATACATAGTAAACAAATTGTTCTTTTTTTGATTAATTTTTGCTTGCAGATAATTTCATCTTTGAGATGGACGGAGATGATTATGAGGAGAAGCAAGGTCATGAGTACGTAGAAAAAGCATTGTTAAGATTGGAAGTTCAAGCATTCATTTTAGTTGGCCTTTGTTTACAAATCATTCTGATCATATTTGGCTTTCGAAGAAAATTTATTGTTAGAAGTTGGATAAGAGTCCTTGTCTGGTCAGCATATTTAGGAGCAAATTGGATGGCAACTGTTGCCCTCGGCAACCTCGGAAAATACGAAGAATATGGTAAAGTAGACTGTGGCATTTATAAGGATGAATATGATTATATATGTGACCGGTATATAAAGTTTGTGGAAGGAAACAAAAAACTCAGCCTATTGTGGTCACCCTTCCTTCTCCTACACCTTGCTGGTCCAGACACTATCTCAGCTTACTCCTTAGAAGACAATGATTTGTGGTCGAGGACCTTTTTCATGTTCATTGCGAACGTCGGGGGAGTGTTTTATCTCTTTGCAATAACCTTGAGCAGCATGGTTACTTTCAGAGAATATATATCCGTTCCAATATTTATTTCTGGAATTATTAAATATGGAGAGAGAGTTTATGTACTTTGGTCTTCAAGCACAGACCGTTTTAAAGAGTCTTTGCTCTCAAATCCTGATCCGTTTCCAGATCTTGTTAAAATCACAAAACAAGATATGGAGAAAAAGCTAGAGGGGGAGGAAATTGATATTGAGAGGGAAGCAGTAAAGGATGAATCACATCAAATCTTTGAAGCTTTTTTTCTGTTCAAGAGTTTTGCAAATTTATTTTCAGGTCTTATTATTGATGACAATGAATTGTTGATAAGTAACAAGATCTTTAGCGGAAAGTTGGCTGAAGACGCTTTCAATTTGGTAGCAATTGAGCTTGGGATCATGTATGATGTTCTCTACACGAAGGCTATTGTTGCCTATTCTCGACTAGGAATCTTTCTCCGTTGCATCAGCTTCTTTTGCTCCTCTTTCTCATTAATTTTGTTCCCACTTTACATTCAATTTGGTTATTTCTCTCTGGTTGACACCTTAATAACTTTCTCACTTCTAGCTGTGGCTTTTCTTCTTGAAATTCTTGCCGTCGTCGAACTTTATTCAACTGATTGGGCAACGCTTATTCGTTTAATTAAAAAAAAGAAAGCACAACCAATCTCAGTTTTTGGCAATCGCAAGAGGTGGTCGAAGGTCATGGGACAATTCAATCTTTTAAGTTGTTGCTTCAAAGAGGAGTCAGCCAAATATATGAGGGTCCAAAATTTCTTCTTCATCGGGAAACGGTTAACGATTCATCTGAACTTAAGTTGGGAAGATGTAAGTGTTGATTTACAAAAGATGATTTTCAAGGAGCTCTCAGAGAAAATCGACAAATATAAACTACATGATGATCATTTTTGCGACACTCATTTACTGGAGAAAATATTGCATCAAAGAGGTGATTATGTGCTTCAAGAAAGGTATAATTTTGAAGAATTTAATTGGTGCATTAACAAGGTGGAATTGGATCACAGCCTTCTCCTTTGGCATATAGCGACTGATCTTTGTTATTACGAAGATTTTGATAAACATGAAGGTACCGATAATAATTTTCATCAAACTAGCAAATTTGGCAAATGTTTGTCTGATTACATGTTGTATCTTCTTGTGGCATGTCCCTACATGATGCCTAAAGGAAATGGTGAGTTAAGGTTTAGAAAAACCTGTGTCATGGTAAGGAGGTTCATTCAATCATCAAAAGCGAGTTCTACATCAATCCAAAGAGCAGAAGATTGCAAGATTTTACTTGAAGACAACATCGATAATATAAAATCCGAAGATATGTCAGTTCTGGTGGAGGGGTGCAAGCTTGCTAAACAATTGCAATTGCTTCAATCTGAGGATGGTTGGAATGAGGAAAAAAAATGGAAAATGATAACAGAAGTGTGGGTGTAAATGTTGACGTATGTTGCTAACCAGTGTGATTGGAAAGATCATGGTTACCAACTTAGGAAAGGTGGAGAGCTGCGCACTCATGTTCGTCTTCTAATGACACATCTTGGTCTAAGTGTACAATACAGCAAAAATGGGAGGAAAATTGATTAATCACTTCATCCCTGAATGCAAAAATAAGTGTGTGCTTCATTGCACTTGTACAAAAGCTTGTTGCGTTTGATTGTTGAAATTTTAGTAGTGCCATGCTTTGAAGTTGTACAAAAGCTTGTTGGATTTGATGATTGAAATACTTTTTCAGCTGTGACTCTATGATGACAATTTTGTCAAGCCCTCTATGATTCAAAGAATTATTATTTAATACTAAAACCTAACATGGCCTCAATAGCAACGTAAAGCCATTAGTGGTGCCTAGGAGGTCATCTCCTACCTCGTGATATATCCTGAGGCCATTCTAAGCCTTATAATGATCAAAGGAAGCCACTCTAGCCACAAGCAATTGCCGGAGGCCATTTTGGCCTTGAGTACTGCCAGAACGTAGAATTTGACGTTTTGAATTTTGGGGTTTTTTTTGTCAGTTTTTGAAATTTGTGTTTTATTAAATATTTTGAAAAGATTTCAGTTTAAGTATAAATCGATGAATTTGTGGGTAATATTTAAGTTGTTAAACTTATATTGAAGGGTAAAAAGTTATTTCTAAATTTAATAGATTTCTTTAGATATAACAAACATGGTGATTAGGTACAAGTTTTTTTATACCAACGTGCGGTTTTTTATTTTGCCAAACATATGGAGTTTGACCATAATATCGCTTAGACAATATGAAGATGAAATACAAAAAAGTAATATTGCAAAGGATTAGAGGGGAAATTAAGCCATATTTTTTAAGCTAACAGAATGCTAAATTAAAAACTTACCAAAGTGAAGAAAATAGCTGAAAAGATGATGACTTTTATATGACCCAGGTGGGATTATGAAATGTAAACCGCAACAATTTTTAGACATTGGATAGTCCCTCCTGAATGCTTGTCAATACTACAGTTTTCACGATACGATAATGAATTTTCTCAGTGAAGTATGTGATGATAAGACGCACAACAACGTAGTCTACCAATTTGTGGGCGAACACCGGGACTGGAAATTAAAATAAACATTAGTGCCTTAGAATAGAGGGTGTCTAATCAAATTAATAACTTAACAGCATCAATCATCAATTTTAACTTCTAATTAATTAATTGAAAAGTCATCAGTTTTATTAACTTCCTTAGTATTTTCTATCGATCCAAACAAAACCAAATGTTTCGTTTACTTTTGGTTTGATATTTTATCTGTTTGTAACTCTGTTGTGTTCTCATTTTGGCCTTCGGAACTATGTTTATATAAGCAAGACATAGGTAAAGGAGACTTAGCGGTGAAGATGAAGTAGCAGTAATAACATATAGACAAATACAAATATATAAATAAATTACTTGATATCTAGTGTTACAAACAATCATTGGAAAGACATAGAAAGAATCCTACGTAACTGAATCAATCCACTCATATACAAGAGAAACTACATCAAGCACCGGACTACCAGCTTCAATCTCTCTCTCTCTCTATATATAAACCTGTTTTGGCACTTCATAGATATTCAGTATTCGCAAATTGAATTATTTATCAAGTCATAGATTAGCTACTGTGAGGCCCGTGATGGAACCATTATGGCGGTGGAATATTGGTGGCCATATGACTGTGAACCGGTGACAGTGTTGCTGGAGGTGCCGTATGTGGTGGTGGTGATGATAGAGTAGCAGTGATAAAAGACAAACACAATAGATAATATATATTTACTAAATTACTTGCTATCCAGTACTGTTACCTAAGACAAATGCCACTCCCATACGAGAAAGAATGCGATAGCTTGCAGTGAATATGAACTTGGAGAAGATGTGAATAAGCATCACGGGGTTGAACGAGTTAAGAAGACTCATCAATTGTTCTGGGCTAATGGAGATCATTTCGGTATTGTTGAAGTGAAGCCGCTAAAACGCTGTCGCATGGTGCTTAAAGTGACTAAGTGATGCGTTGCCGTTTTGGGTTTTCTGCTTGAATGAATCCTAAGCGTTGATTTCATCTCATCGAACGGCTGCTCTTCTCCATCCGGTCAACAGTATATAAGCAGCCCCCAAACTGCAGTTTCAACAATCAGTCTTCCTTCTTTCTTTCGTGAAAAAAACGAGTGCTCTCAAATTTTTCATTGTTCAGTCCAAAAATCAGTGTAGCTTCAGTGAGTGAGTGATTAGTTCTTGATTAAAAACTTTTTGTTTGTTCTTGATTATGTTATTGTGTGGATTGTTTTGGCTGTGTGATTGATCGATATTTGAGATTGATTATTAGGCTTGAATCTTAACAGGTATGTTGCGAAAGAAATGGTTAGCTATATTATCAAATAGGCTAGTGAGAGAATTTGCTCTCCCTTCTCTCTAGGATTAGTGAACCTTAACCTTTTTTCATTTCATTTTCACCCTTCCCGCCATCCCTCCACAACCTTCCACCCCATTATTCCACCTTCTCCTTATTCCCCTCCTTTCCCCGCCACACCCTCCAGTATTCCCACCCTCCTTTACCACCTTGTGTGTTTTTTTTTTCCTCCACCTTTTTTAAGCCAACCCAACCTGTTCTTTACTGCTCACTCGTCCTCTCCAGGATGTAATTGGTCTTGGGTGTGCTGGTGGCCGGAGCTGGTTATGGTTGGCCGGAGAAGCTTGCCTTCTTGGAAGGTTGGTGTCCCTTTGGCAAAGGTCAGGTTTCTTCTTTGGGAATGTTGGGGGTCAAACAGGTTTGAGCTTTGTTTGACTTCTTTGTGTTTGATTTTGGCTTTTCCCTCCTTCCTATCCATTAAGATTTCCTTGCATTTTGATTGGTTAATAACATGTCCCCTTAGTAATTTTCTTTATTTCTTTGTCACTAAATATCTTTATCCTTTGGTTTTTCAGCACCATGCCACCTCACCAATCTACCTTATCTTCTTTATCTCCACCTCATCAAACTATTGCTGACTCATTCTGCCACATCACCCGAGACGCACCTCTCCTTGCCACGTCACCTATGCCACGTCATCACCTCATTTAGACCGGAAAAAAAAAAAAAAAAAAAAAAAATTATGCTCACCCGGCTCTTGCTCCTTGCACCAACATTTCAAATGAATGTTTGAAGGGAGAGACTAGTTGTAAAAAGGAGTTTGTCCAAGTGAGGTTGATGAAATTGGGTGATGGGGGGGAATTCCGAGTTTGAAGAAGGAGAGATTGGATGGGTTGAAAAAGCTGCGGTTTGTATGGATTCCGAAATTGTTGAAGCGAATGTGGGTGATGGTAGTGAAGTAAAAAAACTTCCTTCTTGGTCAATGAGTAATCATCCTGTTACTGTGCGTGAAATCGAAGAACTCTCTGGATGGTCATGACGAATGTTTTCTGCACAATACTTAAGAAAAAAGTGCAATCTATGTTTTCATTTGTCCTTCTAATTTCTAAAGAAAAGACGATTCAACTTTGCCGCCCATTTCTTCTCGTTTCTTCTTTACCAAAAAGTGGGTTGACGAATATGGTTAGGATGAACGGCTCATGTTTCGACCTTCTCTTAGGATCCACGAATCCTCTTCTGTCTTTTTGGAGAATGGAAAAAATTATGTAAGGTTGAAAATGATTACATGCAGAATATAGAGACCCAAGTGGAACAGAGAAAGGAAAGCCACAATCATTATTGCCTAGCTACCCATTAAAATATATTTTTACAATTCTACGTTTTCTATTTCTTTCTCAAAATTAATCTAAAACCCCAAAGCCAAGAAAATTACACTGAGATCATTATAAAAATAGTTTCTAACGATACCGTTAAACTTATAGACTTTTATTTTTATTTTTATTTTGTTGAGGGGTAATTAAATAGTCAGTAAGGACAAAAGGGTGTTGGTGGTCTTTTTATATTTCTGAAAAATTATTCAAAAGTAATAAAAATAAAACTAAATGTATTATTAATAAAGAATTATCCACTGTTGATTTGGGCCTAATTATGATCGTTGCATCTCTTTTCTTAAACTTTGACCACGTTTTTTGAGTAACAAACTCCATACAAGAGAATGAATACAGCTCCTCTGAAAATACATAATATTGTTTAATAAATTAGTTAAGAATAATACTATATATATATATATATATATATAATATTTCTTATACAACAACAAGATATAATTGGGTGAAAGTTTAATTTTAATTTTAAATTAATCAATCATATCTTGCTACATAATATTGTATGAAAAATATTGTATGAAAATGATGTATGTGTAGTATTACTCATTAATTAAACCAATTTGTTGGTGTATACAGTAGATTTAAAGTGAAAGTAATATGTCGTGGCATCTGAGAAGTACCTATGTAGCTTAAGGAGAGCACTCACTCCAAAGAGTGAGGCATCCTCTCTTTAACCCTTCTGTTAGCTAGAGTAAATATATATATGTACATAAGCAAGAGGCTGAAATTTCCCAACATTTTCACGGGACAAAATCACGTTGACTGTGGTCAACACAGTTATATTTCACGAGGTCATAAGTGTGAATAGAAAAAGATAGCGATAATACCCATCACACCCCCTATAACTCCTGAAATTTGTAGCCTCTAAAAACTCCAAAAACTACTAAACAGACCCTCTACCATTAAAAAGCATCCTTTAATTGGCTAATGGGGGGAAATTTCTTCATTCAAATCATATCATAGCACATATCAGCGACTTTTCAAGGTTACTAATGTAATTTGTGTTTCACTTTTTTAAGATAAAAGTGTCAATTATTAATAGCCACTTGTACGGACAAATAGACATTTATATTTTACTTTATAAGGGTAATTTGGTCCATAAATTTCTAATTTCAATTTTTAAAATTTTAAAATTTCTTTCCAATTGCCATATCAACAGTTGCAAATTCATATTGCAGTCTAATATTGGATGCATACGCAAGGGCAAATAAGGTATTCCAAAGGTAAAAAAGAGCCAACATCCAATTAAGTTAGAGGGAAGAGAGGGAAGGAATGGTGATTTTTAACAATAGAGGATCTGTTTTACAGTTTTTATGTTTTGGGGGCTACCAAGTATTGCGAGTTACAGGGGTATTTGGTATTAAACCAAAGAAATATTATAAAAAGTGGTTCGTCTTTCAATATACGAGCTAGGATAAAAAGACCAGGATTAAAAAAGACCGAATTTAATTAAATAAAAAGGTCACATCAAATTACTTTAGCCACCCTAGCTAGGTTTGGAAGAACATGCCACCCTTGATTTAAAAAGCCATCAACTTGAATCATCAGGTGTGGTCCATCTCGTAATTGGACTTCAAGTGGGATGAATTTTACTTGTAATGTTAGAGTTTGTACGACACTGAAAGTATCTTGTGGTTATGATACTTACCTGAACCCCAATCAAGATTAGTCTTATAATTTCAAGTATAGGGGAACTTGAGACTTCTTAAAAAAAAAAAAAAAAAAAAAAAAAAAAAAAAAAAAAAAAAAAAACCATCAACTTGCCACATATTTTCCAATTTTAAACATAAAACTTAACGGTCAAAGAGATTTTTCGTCTTTATGTTCAACATATATAAACTTTAAATTTTTTTTAACTTAATCTCAACATATATAACCTTGATTTTGTGTAATGTGTTGTTTGAATGAAAGAGGTGAAGAAGAGGGTATTAGTGCTAATTTTACTAAATTGAGACTTAAAGAGTCATTTTCAATCTACTTATCATTATAAAAATATTTTTAAGGGTTAAAAAGGTATTTGATCTATCAAAGTTGGTCACAGATTCTGGACGGAGACTGCTGAAGGGTGGAAAATTGATAGTTTTTTAATATGAGTGTCCCAAGTAATTTGCTAAATTTAGGGTAGGTATATGTGATTCAGCATAGAAAAGACAAATGTATAATGGACTAATTAGCCGGCAGTAGAATCTAAAAGTAATATTTAGGTCCTTGTCAATTAATAACGGTTTAAATTTTTTTTTTTTTTTTTTTTTTTGTAAAGTCTAAAATATCCCAAATTTTAGAAAAAGTTCCACCATTAGAATTTAATTATTGTAAAACGATATAACTTAAAACTTATAATGTATGAGGTAAAACGTTTAATAAGTAATTGTAATATTTATAATATGCAAGCATAACAAAAAGAGATAAAATGGTAAGTTATAGCATTTTATAAATTAAAAAAGGAAAGGAAAGTGATTTTAACGTGTTTTGTTGATTATATAATTCGTTTATTTTTTAATGAATTTTATAATTATAAGAATCAAGCATTGCCAAAGATTTCAACAATTGATCAATTGTACTACGTATATAGAAATCAACAAAAGTTAGAAGTCCCAAACTTTAAATATCATTTCTCCTTGGGTTAACAAGAAGGGGGTGAAACTAGAAATTTATTTTGAGGACGATTGAATTTTTTTTTTTCCTTCAAAATAATTCTTAATTACATATATTTTCTTTCGGATAAATCTCGATGGAGTGAGAAATATTTATCGATAGAAAAAATGATTTACTTATTCGGGGAGACATAATGAATCTTTAGAGTCTATTTGGTAAAACTTATCTATTAGCCAAATAACTTATTTAAAGGCATAAAACCCTTTTTTTATATAAGATATTTAAAGTTTTGAAATTTCAAAAGTATCTTATTCTATTTTATAGGTTTGACTTAACTTATTCTTGTATATTAAAACCTTTTTTGGTAAATTAATACTAAAAAATATTTTTTTTTATTTTCTTAACCGAACAACTAATAGATTTCTCAATAAGACTATATTTTCAAATGCACTATTTCAATAAGCATTACTCAAATAAGTTGTACCAAATGGAGCCTTACCATGCACGCCAATTTTATTTTATTTTTAAATAAAAAACAAACTATAATTATGTGTTAATAGAGTAAAAAGGAATTTACAAATGAATGAGAGAGGCATATATATATCTATATATATTACATTTTCCTAGTCCAAAACAATCAAACACTAAAACGGTCATTAACAACTATTTTATTGACTTCCGTAAACGGCGTTTGAACAACAATGGTGCTTTTAATAGCTTCCAGTAATCATTGTGGTTCTTCATACTTTCCTATCTCTTACGGGTAGCAGATAAAATTAACCTTTATTCCTTTTCCGAAACTCTTAGCCGGGCTGCAGCCGGGATGATGCAACATTTGGTTCCGCCACTTATATTTGGGTACCTGGATCCGTAGAAGATGTATATAACAGAAAAAAAGAAAAGCATGTTGACATAACTAACAATGGTTAGCCGATGGTAGTACTCGTTTAGCCGACTATTGTTCAAGGTGTCTCCAAACAAGTTTTTGTTTGCTTGAATAAAAAGCATGCTAAGAAAATTTCCAAGTCCAATAACGAACTCATTAATTTCGGATACATACTCCTTCCATGGATCTTGGAACTGATCAACAATGAATTCATCGAGTCCAGTTGCAACAAGCCCTTCCGTGAGACCTAACAGAAAGAACTGAGGAGAAAGCCAGAATATACTCATGGGTATAGTTCTATAATCATCAGGCTTAATGTTCGATAATCCATTATCTCGAATTATTGTCGTCCTACGATGCTCAACCTGCCATCCAACAGAAGAGCAAAGTATAGATGAAACAATTCCAGCCCAAATTCCAACTTGTATAGCTGTTTTCCTTTTAGCTTTTGGTATCCATTCTGAGTGGACTAATATCAATAACAGAGAGGAGCCCATTCGCCGTGAAAGACTTTTAAGTATAAATAGGGATACTAAAAAATCTGAGGACTCCATATTGGTTCCCTGGTCAGGAAAAAAGGTGTCACCTGTTGATAATACCAAACCAACCACAAGAATGGTAGTCCACATGGGAATCAAACTTAAAAAATGCTTTACTAACTGGACATCTGACGCACTACAAATCCTGCCAAACTTCTTCTCTTCTTCTTGACTGTGAGTGGAGGAATCTATAATGGCAACGTTGTCAAGCCCTCTGCAATTTAGAGAATTGTTATGACTCATGCTGATAATTTTGTCAAGCCCTTATGATTCAAAGAATTATTATTTAATACTAAAACCTAACATGGCCTCAATAGCAACGTAAAGCCATTAGTGGTGCTAGGAGGCATCTCCTACCTCGTGATATATCCTGAGGCCATTCTAAGCCTTATAATGATCAAAGGAAGCCACTCTAGCCACAAGCAATTGCCGGAGGCCATTTGGCCTTGAGTATGCCAGAACGAGATTTGCGTTTTGAATTTTGGGGTTTTTTGTCAGTTTTTGAAATTTGTGTTTATTAAATATTTGAAAAGATTTCAGTTTAAGTATAATGATGATTTGTGGGTAATATTTAAGTTGTTAAACTTATATTGAAGGGTAAAAAGTTATTTCTATTTAATAGATTTCTTTAGATATAACAAACATGGGATTAGGTACAAGTTTTTTATACCAAATGCGGTTTTTTATTTTGCCAAACATATGGAGTTGACCATAATATCGCTTAGACAATATGAAGATGAAATACAAAAAAGTAATATTGAAAGGATTAGAGGGGAAATTAGCCATATTTTTTAAGTTGAATGCTAAATTAAAAACTACCAAAGTGAAGAAAATAGCTGAAAAGATGATGACTTTTATATGACCCAGGTGGGATTATGAAATGTAACCGCAACAATTTTTAGACATTGGATAGTCCCCCGAGTTGTCAATACTACAGTTTTCACGATACGATAATGAATTTTCCAGTGAAGTATGATGTAAGACGCACAACAACGTAGTCTACCATTTGTGGGCGAACACGGACGGAAATTAAAATAACTTAGTGCGAATAGAGGGTGTCTAATCAAATTAATAACTTAACAGCATCAATCATCAATTTTAACTTCTAATTAATTAATTGAAAAGTCATCAGTTTTATTAATTCCTTAGTATTTCTATCGATCCAAACAAAACCAAATGTTTCGTTTACTTTTGGTTTGATATTTTTATCTGTTTGTAACTCTGTGTGTTCTCATTTTGGCCTTCGGAACTATGTTATATAAGCAAGACATAGGTAAAGAGAGACTTAGCGGTGAAGATGAAGTAGCAGTAATAAATATAGACAAATACACAATAAAAAAATTACTTGATATCTAGTGTTACAAACAATCATTGGAAAGACATAGAAAGAATCCTACGAACTGAATCAATCCACTCATATACAAGAGAAACTACATCAAGCACCGGACTACCAGCTTCAATCTCTCTCTCTCTCTATATATAAACCTGTTTTGGCACTTCATAGATATTCAGTATTCGCAAATTGAATTATTTATCAAGTCATAGATTAGCTACTGTGAGGCCGTGATGGAACCATTATGGCGGTGGAATATTGGTGGCCATATGACTGTGAACCGGTGACAGTGTTGCTGGAGGTGCCGTATGTGGTGGTGGTGATGATAGAGTAGCAGTGATAAAAGACAAACACACATAGATAATATATATTTACTAAATTACTTGCTATCCAGTACTGTTACCTAAGACAATGCCACTCATACGAGAAGAATGCGATAGCTTGCAGTGAATATGAACTTGGAGAAGATGTGAATAAGCATCACGGGTTGAACGAGTTAAGAAGACTCATCAATTGTTCTGGGCTAATGGAGATCATTTCGGTATTGTTGAAGTGAAGCCGCTAAAACGCTGTCGCATGGTGCTTAAAGTGACTAAGTGATGCGTTGCCGTTTTGGGTTTTCTGCTTGAATGAATCCTAAGCGTTGATTTCATCTCATCGAACGGCTGCTCTTCTCCATCCGGTCAACAGTAATAAGCAGCCCCAAACTGCAGTTTCAACAATCAGTCTTCCTTCTTTCTTTCGTGAAAAAAACGAGTGCTCTCAAATTTTTCATTGTTCAGTCCAAAAATCAGTGTAGCTTCAGTGGTGAGTGATTAGTTCTTGATTAAAAACTTTTGTTTGTTTTGATTATGTTATGTGTGGTTGTTTTGGCGTGTGTGATTGATCGATATTTGAGATTGATTATTAGGCTTGAATCTTAACAGGTATGTTGCGAAAGAAATGGTTAGCTATATTATCAAATAGGCTAGTGAGAGAATTTGCTCTCCCTTCTCTCTAGGTTAGTGAACCTAACCTTTTTTCATTTCATTTTCACCCTTCCCGCCATCCCTCCACAACCTTCCACCCCATTATTCCACCTTCTCCTTATTCCCCTCCTTTCCCGCCACACCCTCCAGTATTCCCACCCTCCTTTACCACCTTGTGTGTTTTTTTTTTCCTCCACCTTTTTTAAGCCAACCAACTGTTCTTTACTGCTCACTCGTCCTCTCCAGGATGTAATTGGTCTTGGGTGTGCTGGTGGCCGGAGCTGGTTATGGTTGGCCGGAGAAGCTTGCCTTCTTGGAAGGTTGGTGTCCCTTTGGCAAAGGTCAGGTTTCTTCTTTGGGAATGTTGGGGGTCAAACAGGTTTGAGCTTTGTTTGACTCTTTGTGTTTGATTTTGGCTTTTCCTCCTTCCTATCCATTAAGATTTCCTTGCATTTTGATTGGTTAATAACATGTCCCCTTAGTAATTTTCTTATTTCTTTGTCACTAAATATCTTTATCCTTTGGTTTTTCAGCACCATGCCACCTCACCAATCTACCTTATCTTCTTTATCTCCACCTCATCAAACTATTGCTGACTCATTCTGCACATCACCCGAGACGCACCTCTCCTTGCCACGTCACCTATGCCACGTCATCACCTCATTTAGACCGGAAAAAAAAAAAAAAAAAAAAAAATTATGCTCACCGGCTCTTGCTCCTTGCACCAACATTCAAATGAATGTTTGAAGGGAGAGACTAGTTGTAAAAAGGAGTTTGTCCAAGTGAGGTTGATGAAATGGGTGATGGGGGGGAATTCCGAGTTTGAAGAAGGAGAGATTGGATGGGTTGAAAAAGCTGCGGTTTGTATGGATTCCGAAATTGTTGAAGCGAATGTGGGTGATGGTAGTGAAGTAAAAAAACTTCCTTCTTGGTCAATGAGTAATCATCTGTTACTGTGCGTGAAATCGAAGAACTCTCTGGATGGTCATGACGAATGTTTTCTGCACAATACTTAAGAAAAAAGTGCAATCTATGTTTTCATTTGTCCTTCTAATTTCTAAAGAAAAGACGATTCAACTTTGCGCCCATTTCTTCTCGTTTCTTCTTTACCAAAAAGTGGGTTGACGAATATGGTTAGGATGAACGGCTCATGTTTCGACCTTCTCTTAGGATCCACGAATTCTTCTGTCTTTTTGGGAATGGAAAAAATTATGTAAGGTTGAAAATGATTACATGCAGAATATAGAGACCCAAGTGGAACAGAGAAAGGAAAGCCACAATCATTATTGCCTAGCTACCCATTAAAATATATTTTTACAATTCTAACGTTTTCTATTCTTTCTCAAAATTATCTAAAACCCCAAAGCCAAGAAATTACACTGAGATCATTATAAAAATAGTTTCTAACGATACCGTTAAACTTATAGACTTTTATTTTTATTTTTATTTTGGTTGAGGGGTAATTAAATAGTCAGTAAGGACAAAGGGTGTGGTGGTCTTTTTATATTTCTGAAAAATTATTCAAAGTAATAAAAATAAAACTAAATGTATTATTAATAAAGAATTATCCACTGTTGATTTGGGCCTAATTATGATCGTTGCATCTCTTTTCTTAAACTTTGACCACGTTTTTTGAGTAACAAACTCATACAAGAGAATGAATACAGCTCCTCTGAAAATATAATATTGTTTAATAAATTAGTTAAGAATAATACTATATATATATATATTTAATATTTTCTTATACAACAACAAGATATAATTGGGTGAAAGTTTAATTTTAATTTTAAATTAATCAATCATATCTTGCTACATAATATTGTATGAAAATATTGTATGAAAATGATGTATGTGTAGTATTACTCATAATTAAACCAATTTGTTGGTGTATACAGTAGATTTAAAGTGAAAGTAATATGTCGTGGCATCTGAGAAGTACCTATGTAGCTTAAGGAGAGCACTCACTCCAAAGAGTGAGGCATCCTCTCTTTAACCCTTCTGTTAGCTAGAGTAAATATATATATGTACATAAGCAAGAGGCTGAAATTTCCCAACATTTTCACGGGACAAAATCACGTTGACTGTGGTCACACACAGTTATATTTCACGAGGTCATAAGTGTGAATAGAAAAAGATAGCGATAATACCCATCACACCCCCTATAACTCCTGAATTTGTAGCCTCTAAAAACTCCAAAAACTACTAAACAGACCCTCTACCATTAAAAGCATCCTTTAATTGGCTAATGGGGGAAATTTCTTTCATTCAAATCATATCATAGCACATATCAGCGACTTTTCAAGGTTACTAATGTAATTGTGTTTCACTTTTTTAAGATAAAAGTGTCAATTATTAATAGCCACTTGTACGGACAAATAGACATTTATATTTTACTTTATAAGGGTAATTTGGTCCATAAATTCTAATTTCAATTTTTAAAATTTTAAAATTTCTTTCCAATTGCCATATCAACAGTTGCAAATTCATATTGCAGTCTAATATTGGATGCATACGCAAGGGCAAATAAGGTATTCCAAAGTAAAAAGAGCCAACATCCAATTAAGTTAGAGGGAAGAGAGGGAAGGAATGGTGATTTTTAACAATAGAGGATCTGTTTTACAGTTTATGTTTTGGGGGCTACCAAGTATTGCGAGAGTTACAGGGGTATTTGGTATTAAACCAAAGAATATTATAAAAGTGGTTCGTCTTTCAATATACGAGCTAGGATAAAAGACCAGGATTAAAAAGACCGATTTAATTAAATAAAAAGGTCACATCAAATTACTTTAGCCACCCTAGCTAGGTTTGGAAGAACATGCCACCCTTGATTTAAAAAGCCATCAACTTGAATCATCAGGTGTGGTCCATCTCGTAATTGGACTTCAAGTGGGATGAATTTTACTTGTAATGTTAGAGTTTGTACGACACTGAAAGTATCTTGT